ATATATTTACCGTATTTTGAATAAACATTCAAGATTTTTTTAAAGTGTAAGAGCCATCAGTGTATTATCTCTGCTGGTATGCAGTGTTCGTTCGATGAGAGAATTCGGACTTGTATATTCGAATAACAGTTCCAACTCCACTGGTCACCCCTATTCGAAGGGTGTCCTGGGTCTCGGATATTTTGTGACCTTAGAAAGGTTGAGGTTACAGTGATCTTATAATGTATGTTTCCATTAAAAATGAATGGTAAAAAATGACCCATGTTCTTAACAAAAATCTCTCACGTCAAAGATAAGGGTAAAAGGTTAAGAGCATCACGTCCACTGTCTTCGAGGTAAGTCGGGGGTTTTTTTGTCTTTAGTTGAGGAGGGGGGGGGAGTGTATTTGTTGTTGCTGTTGTTGTTGTTGTTTTGTTGTTGTTGTTCTGTTGTTGTTGTTTTGTTGTTGTTGTGCTGTTGTTGTTGTCGTTATTTTGTGGGGGTTTTTTGTATGTTTGTTTCTTTCACTCTTGCAATAATAAAAAGAAACAGTCAACATGACCTTCATGTGTCAAATAAAAATAATAATAAGACATTGTAGTATGCTAATTTTTGCTGTTTGTTTAATTCCCATAGACTTGTTGTATTATAACACCCTAGATTGTGCATTCTGATGTCACACCATTGTGCGCATAATTTGACTCAGTTTGGAGCCAACTGAAGAGCGAGGAGGGAAATGTACTACCTGCACTCCACAAAAGCGAGACTGGTGTTTTGTCCTTCTTTGGGCCCCTTGAGCAGCAAAGTTTCTTTAAGGTGTTTTTTTTAGGGCGGCGGCCATGACAGTTTATGATCTAGGACATTAAAATTATTTGGAATCCATGGTTGTTCTGTAAGAGAATGCAGTAGATAACTTTCCGGCATGTTGCCTTTGGTTTGTTGTCTTACTGTTTTGTTTGTGGTTGACATGGGAGGTGGGGTGGGTTTGGTTTTTTGTTGTTTTAATAGGTATCTTATTTTGTCATTTCCTCAGGCCGTCATGGCTTCTGGATTGATTAGTTTCAGTGGGCTATAAGGTCGCGAACGCTACTTAATTTCTATAGTCTGGTCAGCTGGGTGTGTGTGTGGGGGTGGGGGGGGGTTGTTTGTTTGTTCGTGTTTTACTTTTGTATTTGTTTGTTTTGCTATTGTTGTTGTTTTTTTCACCGTGGACGGCAATGTAATTGGCAAACTGATGTCAGGGTCGCTCTGCTTCCGACACCGGTGTTGTCACAGCTATAATTGGGCCTTAAAGGCGAAACAGCTGGTATGGTGTTCGCATGTCAACCCAGTGGTCTGGAGTTCGATTCCTGCAGCGTGGAGTCGGATTTATTTTCTTATGTGTTCTACACTCTACGATCTTACGGTAGGTAGGATCGAGCACCTAGTCTTTTTGGACACGGACGGAAAATTCCGGAGGTCCCGTGTGAAAGTTTCCCTGACAGAAATCAGTTATCCGGCCTGTGGCTGGCATTCCTACCCCTACTCCTACTTTACTCAAACGGAACTTAAAAATCGATTTCGAATTGACCTATTACAGAGTGCAGTTCGGTTTAACTCTTAACAATAAATGCTTACTGACAAAACCTACAGCGCAAAGCAATTGCATGTTCACTGAGCGGGCATCTGAGGTCCTACTGGCCATAGGTTCTTTCTTTCAAATTCAAAAGACATCACACGCACACACGCACACACACACACACACACACACACAAACGCACGCGCGCACACACACGCACGCGCGCGCGCGCGCACACACACACACACACACACACACACACACGAGTTCGATTATATGTATCACGAGAGGAACGTTTGTTCATCAAGCAGCGGGTTGGCCCTCGGAGAGATGGTTTGAGCAGCTAGCCCCCTTCATTACCAAAGTTCTGTCGATTTCTTTTAAAATGTAGATGTTTTACGCTCTCGCCGAAACAATTTAGTAAATTTAGAGGACGGGATTCCGACCCTGCCTGTCAGAGCCAACCCGGGCTGAGAGGGATACAACATCCCAGCAGACAGATAGAAATACTTTTTAAAAAATTTCACCACCCGGGAATCGAACTGGGGTCAGCGAAGCACCGAACCGCTACACCACTGCCGCCCGTATTCTGTCGATGGGGGCGTAAAAGGTTTGCAATTACGAATTACAATCACTCTCGTACTTGTACCGCCAGTACTACGAGCTTACAATGGGGACGCGTACAATCACAAATCACAATCACTTTCATAGATATACAATCACAATTCACAATCACTCCCATAGATATACTACCAACAGGCTACCGCTAGCCTTCTGCGGGCACGGTGAGTTACGCAAGTTGTACTTAATGTATTCTTTGAAAACCCACATTCTGGACCTTCAACAAAGTACATAGACGTTCTGTTTTGGGCACTTTATGAAAGAAGCATAACTTGGTTATTCAAACAGCTTTTTTAATGCGATTTTTAAAAAATCTTAAACTCAAAAAGGCACAATGCTATACGCATGCACTATTAAATTTGCATATTCGTGTTTCTGATTAGTGTCTTACGTGTAGTTCGATATTTGCCAGTACATTATGGACTTTTGTCTTTTCGACACGTCCTCTGAGAGTTAAATCTAATGTATTGTTACGTCTGTGTCACTATTTGCATAAACTTGAGAGAAACTGCTCGCGTAGAAGGGAATTTGATCACAAGAGGGAAATCGTGCTAATACCCACTGCACACCTCCAATCATTCATCCAATCGAGTCGGGGACAGCCAGATTTTCCTTCATAGGGCAAAAGCTACCACTGTGTCACAATACGACTGATTCGACTCACGGCGTAAAGCCCCGGTCACACGCAACGATAAATTGTATCAGATTCATCGTATGAGAGAACTGTCCGTTTTATCGAACTGTGTTGTCTGTTTACACGTTCCAATCTATCTTTAAGTTTTCTTTCGATCGAGGAGATTCCTCATCATAAAGCCACCAAGTCTCTTTGCGACGACGGAGATTTGCCTGCTCTCTAGGTGAAGGTTTCGAGCTCTGGACCTAATAAAGGAAAGGCGAACACTGTGATCACGAGAGCCCCCTCCCCCTAACCACTTTCCCCCTGTACATTTGATTTAGCAGAACAGTGTCTTTAGAAAAGGGTGGCCATACTGTAGGCCCACCATGTTATGTGTAGAACCGGAAGCTATGACTTGACTGCAGATGGGCAACGCACCGAGTGACTTTGATGCACAGTTTCACCCTTGATGATCAACTAAATTATTAAAATTTTTGAAATATATATAATAACGCACTAAATCAGGTTCATCGTGGACAACTTTGCTTATTTTGAGATGTGTGATATAATGTGTTGTCAGTCAAAGCTGTGATCCTCCCAACCCTGCTGTATGGAGCCAAGACCTGGACGGTATGCCAAAGCCATGCCAAAAAGCTGAATCATTTCTATTCGAAATACCCCAGGAGACTTATTGGCATCAAATGGCAGAATACAATACCAGACACCGAAGTTCTCATAAAGGCAAATGATGAGAATCTATTTTTTAAGCTCCTAAGAACTCAACTCCACTGGGCGGCCATGTTGTAAGAATGGCTGATTTCAGAATCCCAAAGGCAGTCTTCTATTCTACACTGTCTTCAGGGAAGCGTAAAGTTGGCGCCTAAAATTAAAAAGCGCTACAAAAGCACCCTGACAATATCTCTGAAGGACTACAGCATATTAAATCCTTCAACAAACCCTGTTGGACAGCAGCAGTCACAGCGGGCAGAAATTCATATGACGTTTCACGAATAAGAAATTAAATGCTGAGAACAAATGAGAATTCCGCAAACTGCGCACACCCACAGATGGTGTAGGAGTAGGAGCTTTCAAATGTAAAAAACATGGCAAACTTTTATCTACTATAATTGGTGTCACGGCCGTAGCAGAAATCACAAGTCATCTTAACCTTCAATTCTTATAATTATTCTATCTCGCTTGAGAAGTAATCTCCTGTGTGGATGTTTTGGTCATCGCCAGACATTGACAGACGAATTATTACTATTACTATAATGTGTTGTTCCAAATTACCTCGATATGCATTATCTCTTTATCTTTCGGTAGCAGGATTGAAATCATTATCGAAAGAACGTGGGGGAGCTCAATTCATTTCTCTTCATGTTCCTTCCTGAACTGTGGATTTCCTCATGTCCAATGAGTCAGCAACGAGATGGCTCCTTAAATAAATGTTTAATTAATTTTTCTTAAGTTTGAAAATAGAATTACTGACGTTTTAAAGGCCATAAAACATTGCAAAATAACCCCAAAAAATCAACGAAAATAAATAACTTGTGCGCAGAGGCCGTGATAACTTTCGAAGTTAGTTAGTTAGTTAGTTAGTTAGTTAGTTAGTTAGTTAGTTAGTTAGTTAGTTTGTTTGTTTGTTTGTTTGTTTGCTTTCGTTTTTTGTTGTTTGTGGGTTTTTGAAACGTTTGATTTGAGCAGCCCATGGACCAAGGAAAAGTTCACGAGGAATGCTGAACACGTCTTAACCCTTTCAAACGCTCATTCTACTCCTTTGACAACACTTCGCTGCTTTTTTTCAGAACTAGAAAGTTATTTCTGATATTTTCAGCCGTTTTGAGTTACCTGTTTGTTTTGAGAAATTTGAAGTTAGAAATATTTAGTTGCACAACATGTCAAGCTTCTTAGAATGCAATTTTTTGAATTTCTTGATATCGTCTCCGAATAATCTTACGGTTTTGATATAGCAGACAGTGCATCATTTGGTTTCAGAACTTATGGTCTCTGAAACTCAAAACGACTAAAATTGTCAGATAGAACTTTGTAATCCTAAGGTCCAGAGGTGTGTTCGCCGCGTCTTGAAGAGTTAACTCAACCACTCTGGCTCACAGCAACATGAAAATAAAGAAAGACGCGAATTTAGTTCTTGCCAAGTTCGTTTCTTGACTTTTTTGTTTGTTCAGACTGTCATTTACTACATGAGAGGGATCGGGGAGGGGGTGAATGACACCTCTCATAGAAATGGCTTTGCTTGTTCTAGATTGTCTTTTTCTTTCGGGCTTTTTTTCGGTTAAACTTTATTTTTTGTTTGTTTGTGTGTGTGTGTGTGTGTGTGTGT